AAAATTACTTTTCCATCAAAATAATGCTTCAAAACCACTTATCAAAAGTATATGTGTTTCTCAATTATTAAAGTTAAAAAGATCACATGGTAGAGCTCATTTGTCACACATCCACAAATAACTTCCTTATTTAATGTTACTCTTTAACAAAATGGCAGGAGATCATACGATGACCTTTAATAATCAAGATACATAAAGATGATAATGAAATTTGTAAGAACAACTAATTAAAGCCATAGGAACTTAAATTTGTAATTGTTTACGCAAAGAATTGCACAACGGTGTTTACAAACCTAGCTCGAACCCGATCTCCGACTCGACCTGAACAGTGTAGTGAACCTGCACAAGAGGGCAAACTCTCCGACGATCAAGTCAGTATAGGTGGGACTCGATATTAAGTTCGAGGTGAGATTTGATACCTGAACGTGAAATGAGACCCTCTATTTATATGTAGTGGGTCCGACAGCACTCACGACCAGTAGTTATCCCTGTCTTTTGTCATGTCGAACCTGTCGAGGTTGAGCAGATCGAACCCATTCAAGTCGAACCCTGACCTTTACACTTACCCTTACATATGGACAAATTAGGTCTCCTCGGTAGGTTCGAGGTGGACCTGGAATATTCTTTTATTTCTAAACACCACTGAGCGTCCTCCACATGTCCTCGATATTTTCATCCCTAAACAGTAATCATTTAACCTAAAAGCTATATCTTATAAATTTTTATACTTAGATTTTGATTCCTTTTATTATCTTAAGCCTAAGATGTAGTAAAATTGTCAAAAGAGTCTAATTAAGTAAGACTCTTGTTTGGCCATGGAATAATTCTTCAAATAATGTTAACCCATTTTTCACAAAACCCTTTAAAACCCTATTTCCAAAAATGCCCTTTTAAACCCTAAAGGGCCTTACCTTTTCTAGTTGAGAGAGAGAGAGGTACATTAATTAATTAAATTAATTAATGAGTAGGTGAGATTAATGTGGAGTTTTGTCCATCCTAACCAATGACTTTAGTGAACCAAGTAATGTGATATGTTTCCTATATATGTCAATGATCATGTTATAATATTATTTAATTATAGGCTTAATGATGTTTAAACATTTGGTTATGGCAAACATGATAAATCTCCTTTGGATTAATCACAAACAAGAAACATCATGAAGAGATGCATTGTCACTTTTGATTTGATTTTCCAACCAACAATTGACCACATCAATTCATAACACACTTAGATAAGATAGTAAACCAAACAAAAAGTGTGTATTTTGGAATTTCTATTTTCAATACTATTTTTAATTCTAAATCCACTTTAAATCTAACTGATTAATAAATGTTACGTTTGTAGAAAAATCACAGTGTTGTTTTGTATGCATGCATATGAAATACATTAATTAGAGGTGCTGCAAAATCACTAAAGTCACGTTGAATAACTATTTTGTTTTTTATTTTCTATTTTTAAAATTTATCTAATTATAATACTAGTTCTATTAATATATTTCTTTATTTTATTATCCAGCACGTTTTCAAAGTCTAACCAAAAATTTTGAAAACTGAAAGGAAAATAAAAGTAGTTCTTGAAAACTTGTTTTTGTTTTTCAAAATTTAGTTAAGAGTTTTAAACGTGTTTTTTTAAGGACGGTGATAGACATACTTGAATTATGAGAAAGAAAACATAATTTAAAAAATATATAGAACTAAAATAAAATATATATCAAACAAGGCTTAAAATCAAAATATATTGATGACCCATATTACAACTCATCAATGATTTGAAAATTTTATATTTATTAACAGGAGTATAGCTCAGTAGGTAGGTAAAGACATGTCGTTGGATTTGTTTTTTTAAAGTTCTTTGTTGGATTTGTTGCATTAGAAAACTACGAAAAGTAAAGAAATTGTTATATATTTAAAATTATTTTTTATATTATTTTC